CACTTCGATGTATATGTTGTCAAATTATTATTGTTTGTTAGGGATATGAGGATCTGGCAGTCGAGTGTAACATATTTTTAGAAACTGAAGGCAAAGAATTTAAAATAGTAACTATATCACGTTTGAGATGTGGGACTATTGTCCCAGTATGATTATGAATACCACGGTTACATCGATCATATTATCCCACAACTGAGCGGTCGAACCAATAAAATACTGTTTGGCGGATGCTGTAAAACTGTAAATCATCCTCGGTGACTGAAGTACCTTACAAGATAATTATACATATACATATTGTAGAAAAAATCATTTAATTATACAAGTTGATGATTCAAATTTAAGCATATAAATTCTAGTACCATAATTTAAAATTATATGAATAGCTACAATAAATTATCTATCTCTCGGTTTTAAAAATGGAACCAAGTTATTGTAACTCTGTATGTTTTATAGTAACTTCAATCTTAAATATGTTCCTGATCAACAGAAGCATTTCGTAATTTTAGATCATACTTACCAAAGTAGAACGTTTTTACAAAAGAGACTGAGAATGCAGCTCCGCTATCAAACATACGGAAAAAAGTGGTGTTTACGAACCATCATACATTTTTCTTAAGTCATCATTTAAGAAAACTTAGCTAAAGTAATTTTCAAAATCATATGGTGTCTCCTTATTTTTCTTAAATACGAAAAAAGCTATGGGTTTCTGCCTCTTGCATTGTTGTACTGATCCTTTGTTATGCGTCGGCCCTGTTTCTATGATGAAACAGTATGTTGTGTTGAATATTATAGTGTCAGGGGCTAATAACTAAATTTTTCATCAGATTACTTGCTATCCAGATCTTTTCAAGATAGCGTTTCTGAGATGACGAAATGAAATTGTGTTTACAAATTTCCTTGTATTTTAAATCTACTTTGAAATCTTTGACCAGCACTTTTTCAACCTCCCTCAAGGTCAAACTGTCCGTAAAATACCATTAAAATCAGTAAAAATCGGATAGACGGACATAAACAACCTCTTACAAATGTTAATCGATTCAAGTTATTGCACGTTATATCCATATGTCTAGATGGAATAAACCAGAGAAAAGGAACAAATTACTAAAAATAATAATACCGAGAATAGTAAATAACTTCTGAAGGAAAAAATAAACTAATTAACCAATGAAATCGATGAATGAAAGGTATATGATGATATAATGTTCATAACTTTGGGGAAACGTAATAGATTGGTACATATGAATACCAACTAATTCTGAGCCATATCTTTTTAGTATTTCATGGACTTTAAAACGTAAACGTGTCCTTATTGAACTCAGATCATTAACCAAGAACTTCATAGACTTCTGACGTACGTTGCGTATTTATATTTTCTCTTCTATCCCAACTAGCAAAGCTAAGCATAACAGAAAATCATTGAGATGTATCATACAAGTCATAAGCTTTTCAAAACACTTGCCAAGTTTGCGGCAAACATGTGTATTACTCAATGATGCTACCCATACCCAAGCAATTTGTCAAGGCTATCTATGTTCCAAATATTTTTAACTTATCTCTGTACGCTATTTCTGAAGGCCACATTTCGACTTTTTGTAAGCAAATATAGAGTAAAATATTTCTCAGAGAACTTGGGCTTTAAAAACCAAACGAACGTATCATCTGTACTACAAATGGAATAAATTAGCAATCTGTAGGGACTTCTTTTTTTGTAGCTCCAAAGTTTTTTATCCGTACGTTTGATATAAATATTACGGTTTCGAACATAGCTATAATTAAACTTCTTAACTATCTGGTTGTAAAGTGTTACATCATATTTAATTTGAGAGACTTTTCTCATAATTTGTCATTCAAGGCCTTTAGAACATTGAATTTTAGGAGAATTCTCATCAGATAGAACTGTATTATCTGCCTATTTTGAGAATTTGCGGGTCTTCAAATATGAAAGCGATCTCTGAAAAATTACTTGAAGAAAAAGCTATTTCTAAGAAAATATAGAAATGTCAAATAAAAACATTGTTGGCGCGTTTTGTTTTGTATTCCAAATTGATATTTCAGTCCATCGTAAACTTTGACGTGACGATTTGTATTACTGCAAACAGCTTGTAGTGCGGTGTTTCAGTCCGTCAGCGTAGTTTTCAGTTACAGAATGATGTATATCCGTTTTCTAAACACCTAATATTAATGGAATTAAGTATTGAATACAGCATATATAGAGAAAGTAAACAGTAATGAAAAATGACACAAAAGTAAGATATAGAATAAAAGATGACAGACGATTCCTAATTGACTATCAAAAATCCAAAAATTAGAAATTCTTGTAAACTATTCATAATTAATTGTTTTTATTCTTACAGGAAGCTGGCGATCGAAATATTTATCATCGTTATTGTCTTGAACGTGCGGCCGTTCATTGTGCACACGTATTTACAACTGTAAGTAAAATTACCGGCTTGGAAAGTAAGTTTCTTTTGCGAAGAGAACCAGACATCATCACTCCAAATGGTCTTAATGTTATTAAATTTGCTGCACTTCATGAATTTCAAAATCGTCATGCATTGGCTAAAGAAAAGCTGAATCAATTTATTCAAGGACATTTTTATGGGTTAGTTGATGGTCTTCATAACTGATAGATAAGCTTTGTTGATTTTTAAAGATTTTTCTGAACCAAATCATAATATTTGTTTTTTTCAGACATTATGATTTTGATTTGGACAAAACATTGTATTTTTTCATTGCTGGACGTTACGAATTCCAGAATAAAGGAGCTGATATATTTATCGAGTCACTGGCTCGTCTTAATCATCATTTAAAAGTATGCTAGTATTGTTGATATTAAAGTTATTTAACTATACATATTATCCATAATGAAGATTTTTGTTTCAATCCACCATCTTTCTGTTACTTATTAGTTTATTGAATTTATTTGCAATAATAACAATACCAAGCGATTTATAATTGCATAACTGACGGCCTAATAGACATTTTCAACCTCTGGATGACATAGAGTTTAGATGTATTTTAAAACAAACTAAAATCCATGTATGATCATAAACGTGGCAATTTTGTTTCCTGGACTCACTCATTGAAGATGATAATTTACATTGTCATTAAATGTTTCTAATTGTCTATCTAAAAAAAACAAAGAGATCAGAGTATTTATCATTTTAAATGCTCGATGATAGTCAGCTTTCTGTCTTTGAATGGTGATAAAACCAATCAAAAGATATCGTGCAATACGCTTACTGGTTTTAGAAACAGGTATAAAAATTACGATTTATCTTGAATAATTTTAAGGAATTTTCTCGAGCATTCAACACCAAGATTTAATTAACTTTTGGATTCGTTAGTGAATGATCACTTTCTCGAATCGTTTGCCCGAAAACAACCTGGAATTATTTGACTAACTGTCTCCAATTCATGTTTTCATACACCTCATTATGTTTTCTACTTATCTCGAGGTCCATCTTTTATTTATGCAGTAAAAAAAGTAGTGTTATTATTCTTACTCATGATGTTTTTATCTAATTAGCCTCTTTTCTCTACAACCATGTATTCTCAGAATGGGGATTTGCAGAGATTGTATTAATTTCAATAATTGAATTCACAAGTCAACCTGAGCTGAATCACCATTGATAAGCTGGAAGCACTGGACGGCCATTTTGTTCCAGTATGGGACTCAGTGGTCTAAAGGTTAGGCGTGCACGCGAAGTCGAAGGTCCTGAGTTTGAGTCCTTCGTGTGGGATCGTGGATACGCACTGCTGAGGAGTCCCATACTAGAATGGAACGGCTGTCCGGTGCTTCCAAATTTTCAGTGGTGTTCTAGCTTAGATCGACTCATGAATACAACTATTAAAATCATGTATTCGCTATAGCATTTTGCACAAAAACATATTGGTCCAGATCTTTATGCAACTTTATAAGAAAAATATTAGGATAGCAATATGTGAACAGTTTTCTATCATTAGTCCGTTAATCATAGACCTGATACGAATGTGTGTTGATCCAAGTTGTGACATAGTGAGAGAAATCAACAAGACCAGAAGGGAAAATTGGATAATGTTAGCTGCAATAGGAGCCTAAACATAAATAGAATTGTTCAGCAGGAGTCAATAAAATGATAGTAGTACGAAAAGGAAAAATCATTAAAGATAAAAGACCAACTTTAAAGAAAAAGTATGGAGACGGAAGGAAAAATATGTTCATAGTATTACGATTAATGTATTAAGTATGTGGTGAATTTTTCCATTCTTCTCTGGGATTATTTAGGCAAAAATATGTGAGTCGACATTAAGAGTACACGAGAATTCCAAACTTGACATCTGTTTGTACAATCGTCAAACTGTCAAAACTTTACTATATCTAGGACATCACATTATTACTTAAGAACTTATGATTTTTCACGAAGCTTATTTGGTTGGAAGCGACCGACTGTTTTAATAAAATGTGCAATAAGACTCATGAAACGTTTCTTTTTCATTTTGCAAAGGTAATTTGTTTACGAGCTTTATAACTGAATATCATACTACAAGTAGTCCTCTTAACTTCTTTCTCTTTTGTCTTAGCAAGCACAAACTGATGTCACTGTCGTAGCATTCCTCATTTTTCCAGCTCATACGAATAGTTTTAACGTGGATTCGTTTCGTGCACAAGCTATTGTAAAACAACTACGTGAAACAGTGAATTCAATTCAAAGTGAAATGGGACATAGGTTATTTGAAGTGTGTCTTCGAGGGCTTATTCCTCAAGGATCTGATATACTTACTCAGGTATGGTTATAAATGTTCCTTCGATGTTGTGGTATATATTTTGCTTTACAGTCATTTTTTGTATGTAACCATCTAATCAACTAATATTTGTTTTTCAGGGTGATGTATTTCGTCTTAAACGTTGTATATATGCAACACAACGAAATAATTTGCCCCCTATTTGTACACACAATGTTGTTCAAGATAATATCGACCTAGTTCTGTGTAACTTACGCCGGTGTCAGTTATTTAATGATCGTCATGATCGTGTTAAAGTAAACCATTTGTTATTGTGTTATTATTTTTAAACTCCATTTTAATTTTCAAGATATTGAAAGTCAGTTGACTGAAAATCATCTTGAGGTACTTTATAAATGGTACAGTTTTTTCATATACAGTTACGCCTAATGAAATACTCACAGCTCTTTCCATTTTGGTTATAATGGTTAGATGTTCTGAAAGATCAAATATGTATTCTTGAATACGTCCATGTGTATTCGGTGACAAATCAGGAACATTGAAAGCCATCATTAAATTCCTGATTATTACGTCCAGAGGAAACTGCTCAGAAATAAGCCATCCCATCGTTAACTACAGTAAACTTATATTTCTTGACACTCTAAAATTACTTAGGATTTCCCAACTATTACATCGAATGATTACATTTTTATTTTGTTCTATTTAAGGTAAACCGTTGTCATATGACTTACCTGTCGATAAGATGTTACAAAATATTAAAGAAATCATGTATCATAACTGTTTTATTTCTGAGTTCTGTTTTGTATGATGTGCATGTATATAATTTGTGTTTTGTTTTTTCAACTGATAGGTTATTTTTCATCCTGAATTCTTAAGTTCTACCAATCCACTACTACCGATGGATTATGAAGAATTTGTGCGAGGCTGTCATTTAGGTGTTTTCCCATCATATTATGAACCATGGGGTTATACACCAGGTTTGATTTTATTTGTCTGATGTCTGAATTTTACTAACAAATCTTAGTTTAACAGCCAGTTATTTAATCTTTCGATTATTTCCTATAATTTGTTTACTTTTCTTTTAAGAATTAGTATAACTAGAATTGATGAATTAGTTATTATTTTTCATTTCATTAGAAAGTGTCTACCAGCCTGATAGTGAAATAATTATGGAAAACCAATGTTGTCAGCGTCAACTGTTCTTTGTCTGAAAAGTTGCAGTATATATTTCTTGAATACAAACGTTACAATCTGTTAACGTTTTGAATTCATTTTATTGAATTGAATACAGCAAATAACATTAATGTTATGTTTCAGCCAAGCTAAAAGCTCAAATAATTATTCCGTTTCATTGGTTGTTTTCACCTTTCCATTGATCTTTAAGATGGGAACTGATCAGTTTTTTTCGGCATATGCTTGTCCCTTATGGATTGCATCGGTATTGCTATTAAGTTACAAGTATAGTAGGTTGAGTTGAATGGTGATTAACAGTGGAGCCCAAGAAGCTCGTTTCATCCTTTTTAGAACACATGATGTGTTTAATGAGCTGTAGTGACGAAAGTCTCATTCGTTATTATGATACTTAAAAATGACATGATTTGGTGCATTTTTATATAGTAATTATTCAATATTCTTGTATATTGCTTTTTTTCATTTAAGCTGAATGCACCGTAATGGGTATTCCATCAGTAACAACAAATCTTTCTGGATTTGGCTGCTTCATAGAAGAGCATGTAGAGGATCCCAAATCGTATGGAATATACATTGTTGATCGTCGTTTTCAAAGCTGTGAAGACAGTGTTCAACAGTTAACCAAGGTATTTCTAGACCATCAAGACTATCAAAACCGGAATTAACCTACACCTGCAGTTGGCTCTATTTCACTCGTTCATAATCCCTTTTTGAACTCATTTTATGGTCATGTATAGGATTCAGCCTTTGGCGACTCATTTGACAAATATGACACAATTTAAAGTAGAGAACATTTCTGTATCTTTATGTATCTTATAGAATAAGAAGACAGGATAGTGATTGAGAGCTGTGCATCCAATAATAGATCATTTTCTGTTGATATATCAAGATTAAACCGAAATATATTCGATACAAATCATTTCTGCAAATAGTAATATTTAAGGAAAAACATCACTTTTAGAGGTGTTCAGAGTTATCCACTACTGATTAACTTTTCATAATTGTCTAACCCAAGTCAACCTATGATGTGAGAACTTCAAATTTAACAATTTACATAGCACTCTGTAATAACTTTCAAGGTTGTTTGGACTCATCTTACTTTGAGAAAAAACATTAAAGTCAAATATCATATTCTGTTGAATGTTTTCTTGACCATTTGGTTTTTCATACTAAGTCCTTTCAAGCGTCTAAGACAAACAACTGTAGTCGTGTTGTTGTGTCTTCAATCATCATTCGTGATAAATATATGATTTCCTAATGCGCAGCATATATAGAAAATTTCTTCAATTTAAAATGGATAGCTTAGTTTTAAAAGGGAGTTGGCTGTTGTCCATCAGGTTGCCGGGTTGTTTTTCTGAATTGTAAAGTATGTGAATATAAACATATATCATGAGTATAATTTTTCTTTAAATCTTTTTTTCATTTTATACCTTATTTCTAATTTCTCTGTAGTATTTGGTTGAGTTCTGTCAATATTCTCGTCGTCAACGTATTGTTTTAAGAAATCGTACTGAGCGATTAAGTGAACTGTTAGATTGGAAAAATCTTTCCTGTGTAAGTGTAAAAGTTCTTGAATGTTGTTCATTTGATATGTGTGAGGGCTGTGATACTGCCCGGGTGCCCAAACCGAAGCAGGTGGTTTTCTTAGGAGGCCACACCCGGAGCCTTCGACCTGAAGGTCTGATCCACAAGGCAGTGGAGCAATGTAAGGAGATGGTAGCCGGTGACCAACAGTTGGTTCATACGCCATTTGTTTCTTTCGGGATCCTGTAACCCATGTGCACCATTGGTTTGGAATCAGGGTTTTCCAACTCCTTTAGGTGGATCCTCCATATCCACCAATCCGGGTAAAGAGCCGGATATTCGCTTTTCATCCTCTCAATTTCGTAAACAACACCCTTGCCACGAGAAGGTAGTGAGTAGAACTTTCCTGACCAATTCTAGACGCCATTCCATAATATTTTTTAAGCCTTTGAATGTAACACGACTGGTCATAAGGAAGACAGGATAGAATTAATTTTAATATTTCCCGATGTAATATATCGTTTTTATTAATGAATTTTTTTTAGTGTTAATAAACTATACATCCATATCATGGATACTTTTTTGGATATAAAGACATGGATTTTTGTGCCTGTGTTTTGGTTGTTCTTTTTTAATTCATCAACGTGATGTTGACTTTAAAAACAGAATTTTTATTATGCTTATCATAATAAATCTATGGATCACTCTTATCGTTTGAATGTCATTAACAAAGTTAGTGTCCTATAAAGTATTGACACTTTTGAAGTGTGTTATAATTCATATACATTGTTAATTATTAGTACGTTTCATATATATCTTTTTTATCTAGTACTATCAACGTGCCAGATTAATGGCTTTAAAGAGATTCTCTCCAGAACTATTCACATCTAACAATAATGATGATACTTTATCGACTCATAGTTTTCATCTTAGTCGACCATATTCAGCACCTGTATCTCCATCATTATCAGGACAATCAACACCGTTGCGAAGTGCCGGTGCAAATAGTTCAAATCGTAGCAGTCCTACATCACATTTAGATGATGATGAAGTTGATGATGACACAGAACGATTAGAACTAGGTCTTGGTGCAGTAGAAATCAATGATCCTGTACCTGGTTGAAGTACGAAAGCAAAAAAAATCTTAACAATATTGAAGTATAAAATTAGAATGTGACTAGTTTATTTTGTTTCTTTATTTCTTCTCTTTTCATTATTTACCATTTATTTTATTTCTTTTTGTTCATTTATAATTCATTTAGGTCTTTGTTTTAATGTGCATATTTTATCAATCTTATAATATTGTTATCATCCTTTATTGATAATAGTTTACACTGTACTAATTTTCTACACTTCATCAATGAATATCATTTGGACATTTTGTAAAGTCAGAATTTCTGATCTCATTTCACATGTATCAATAAGATTTAGAATGATAGAAAATATGAATTTCATTCATTTTACAATGTTTATTGAATTTTTAATTAGCTGAAAGTGTTATGAGTAGTAATTTTAGTAGGGGAAAGTAATTAACTGTTTTATATGAATTAGTTTATAATACTACATTGACTAATTAGCAAGCATAATTAGATGAGGAATTTTACAGTTAGTCTTTAAAGAAATAATGATTTCTGAATACGACAAGATTTATAATAACGATTATAACACACGACAAGCCAGTAGGTTAGAAATGAAGGTAAACGAGAAACGTTAGTTGTATTCTAAGCTGAAGCTAATGAGATCGTATAACAAATTTGAAATACGGATGTCAGAGTAAAGTTAGAAATACGTTTATTTTTTATGTAAAGTCGACGTTGGAATAGCTTGATAGCATGTTATGCCAATTGTAGAAAACTGGACGTTTTCTATTTATTTTGTACTTTACTCAGGATTCGTATATTGTAAACTGAACAAAAACCTTGATCTTTCAATAATAAACATTATATATATCTCAAATAATCTTTCGTACAAGCCATTCTAGTAGTTCTATCATCTTTAATATCTAAGATTTCATCATAAAGCTTAATGTTCGAATAAGAAATGTTCAGGGTCTTACGAAGATTCAGAATCCAGATTTTTTGTGAAGCAGTGGCTAGGAAGTCGAGGCGTTCAACTTTGAACCACTAGGCCACAGGTTCGATTCTCGTTCCACTTACTTTGATCCGAGTTGTATCATCAGCCTGTGATGAATAAAGCGATTTCTTTCACTTTATTTATATTGCTCAGAAGTACATATCACTTGCTAACTATCCTGATCCCATCAATCATAATTTGATTTTCAATCGGAACCTCAGTACAATTAGTCAAAGTTCTCGCTTACTGATTGAACCCATCGTTTTACATCCGGAAAATTTTGTAGATAGAACAACCTGATTCTTCAAATTACGCTCTCAAACCATTATTATTATCGAAAAAAAGATTATCAGTTCAAATGTTCATTTGTTTTAATAATATGATCTAGATAACATTATAATCTGTCAATTTATCAATACTTGCAAAACGACAAATCATGTTAGAAATGAGTAATTTTTTAATCTGGTAAACTCTATGATGACAAAGATCACTCATTTTCGCTGATTTAATTTAATATGACACTATAAGCTCACTGGTCTTATTAATAGTAAAATTCTAAGAAGTTGCAAGCATGTGATGAACTATAAATAACAAACGACTTAATGCCTTTGTGATTGTTTATTTAAAAGTCATCTATTATATATTTAATTCATAAAAAACATCCGATGAAGTTGGCCATTAATAAATATGTTATACACTCAAAAGAACTATAGTTTTTTAGAGTTTTAAAGGAATGAAAATAAAGAAAATTACAGTCCAAGTAATAATGTTAAGCAGATTTCTTTACTCTAACGAAAACATCTCAGTGGTTTTTATGGGAATACTGTAATAAGATCTCGTTTATTATAAATTCTGGCTGCATCTAATAATGTTCCAAGTCACTAGTCTGCATAATATATATCGTATCCAAAGAGCAGTGATGTGTGAGCCATTAATTACACCTGTCTTTGGCGTCACAAAAAGCGTATCTCCACTTTTCACTTAATGCCTTCTTTGAATATTTCCTTATTATTTACAGACTATCACTAGATTTTCAGAGAAGAGAATAAGCTATGGTGGAATTGATACAAGTGGCGTCGAGGCAGCTGAAACCCATGTTCACTGTTATTATGTCAAATTTCTTTTTTGCTTATCCACCTTATTTTGGTCACAGACCATTTTTATTATAACTTGTTAGTTTGGTAAAGTTTTAATAACTAAGAACTTTCGTCTAAATTTGATAAAATAGTTTCACAATATTTGGGCGCCGAGTTGATGTGAGACATTAAAGAGGAAGAATGTATTTGTAAAATCTCAGCGAATGAATTTGAAGTAAATCCAACGTTTCGCCTGGCAATCTTGTCCAGGTTTTATTTCAAGATAATCTCATGAGAATAAATATAATTAGATAGTTTCGAGAGCAGTTTAATCGAAAGAATAACGTTTTGATGTCTATATCCACGTTATATAGATATCGGTTTTTATTATCTTTGTCGCAAAATAATTCTAACTTATTGGTTTCACTTTGAGCTAATGTGATATTCTTCATAGTCAAAATGTCCATCATCTGCATTTTGAAAGTAAAAAGAAATTGATGATTACTGATCTCTTGGTGGTTTTGTCGTCTCTAATCTAGACAATTTCACTGAGCTTCATTATTATCCTGAATAAAATCTCTAATGCCTAATTCATTCAACAGCCTTCTCATCAAGTTATTCTGTTACATAATTGGATAGTATACCAAAGAAAGTGACTTCATTCTGTCAAATTATAGTAAATAGAAATACATGCAGGTAAGCAAGAAAACTTGAAAGTTTAGTCTCAAAATTAGAAGGAAAGAAATTTTGAAGAAAAAACGACAGAAATGACTCATGTACAAGCGTATCTCTTTATTCAAGTTTAATTATATGGATGAAATGGTGTATTTTATATTCACTTGGTGTTGTTTTACTTGTATCTTCCCGAGGTGAACATCAAATCTGGGATGCAGGTACATCCAGCTGGCGAGTCCCGAATAGGACGAAACATGCGTCCTGGATTCCATTGCTAGTCACTATCCATCTTTGCATAAAAAATGTATTTTTAATGTTATTTATCTCACTGTTAAATATCAAACAATAATTTGTTTAAAAAATCTACGATTCCTAAATTCATAACATATTTGTTATTGGCAGATGAAGGTTAAGTGAACAACAAATAGATTGGTATATTCATACAATGAGTTCTTTATTGAGCTTAAAAAGATTTTGGTTACGCATTGACTATTAACTATAAACTGATGACCATTTTGTAATCTCAGACAAATTAGTTATATAATTAAATTAATTCCGTTGGATTTTAGCCTTTTATAGGAAGTCTTATGAATTAGATAACATAGTTATAAGTGAAAGTTATACACCAAAACATGAATATTCCATGTTTCCCATATACATAATTTAAGTAAGCTTAACTCTGTGCTGTGGGATGGTATAAAACAAGTTTCTAATTTTTCTTAGGTGATTAGTTAGTTTTTAGCTAATTCTATTCTAATTCGTTTATTTTACATATAGCATCAATGAACTACATTGAACAATCTAAATTTTTATGTTTGTACTTGTTTACTATACAAATTGATTAAAGTGATTGCTGACAATGGTACTAATTACATAGTTGTTTGACTGAATTTTTTTTCAGTCTGTATCAACTTTTAAATTGTATAAAATTGAATAATGAAAATGTCAAACACTAACCGGTAGATAATTAGGTATTATTAATATACATAAATGAACTACATTAGGTAATATCAAAATCCTGCTGTAATTATGGTAAACTTATTCGAATTTTGTATTGAAAACTGATTATTGGTGACCTAGGTTAGTGTATATATAAAGTTCAAAAATGAACATTGAAATTGCAGAACATAATTTATAATATAAATAGTTGTCAGACCATAAAGGTTAAATACATTACAGCACATAGTTATTTATCTGATCAGTTGGGTAGCAAATTGTAAATAGTTGTATGAATGATGGTTTTTATTAGTTGTATGTAACAGTTTTACCGTGAAAATGACAAACTGAATCCTTACAGAGTAATGTTCCGAAGTAATATAATTTTGTCAAATTTTAAATGCTTATGGGACTTAAGCTATTGACTTTGGTTAATCAATAGTTGCAGATTAAATGATGGTCAAAAATACTGAACAATCGATTGCGTGATCACGATCAAATGTACTACTTTTCTCGATTCCCTTACTACTATGGTAATGACGTAACACACATGATTAGAAGTTATATATTGTCTGTTAACTTTTCATGAAATGTTATGTACTTACTCACTTTACTTCTGCCTGTTACCCCCCTCGTGGAGGAGCATAGGGTGATCACCAGCATTCTTCATCCAACTCTGTCCTGAGCAGTCTTTTCCAGTCCTTTTCAGTTGCTATTCATCGTTTTCATGTATGCTTCCGATTCCCGACGTAGTGTGTTCTTTGGTCTTCCTCTTTTCCGTTTCCCTTCAGGATTTCAAGTTAATACAGCTTGGTGATTTCCACAATGTATATCCTATTCACCTCCTCTTCACCTGGAACCTGGTTTGTTCTCTAACACAGTAGGCTATTGTTAATGCTATCTGGTCAGCAAATATTCAGTATCTTGTGGAGACAATTGTTTGTAAATACATTTGCTTATAGCAACTCTCCTACAATCAATATCGATTGTGATTAATTTTTGTTATGCCATTTTATTAACTTACTTAATGGACAATGTTATTCGGACAGTAACAACTCGTCTACTTCTTTGTAGTATAATGATCACTATCTTGTCTGTATAAACATGTACACTTGGTCACATAACAGCCTACGCATACCTCTCTCTAGCTTAAATGTTGATACCTTGAATATCGGTCGATGAATCATTCTCTTCTCCACGTAGATCTGTACTCGAGGCCTATTGTTAGCTTTTGCCTTTCCTATCTGTGCATCGATTCGATTTGACTATAAATTTGCCCTTGCATTTGCTCGCATACAAACATTCGCTTCTCTGCTTCAAATCCTCGGTGTGCTTGCAACTTTGTTATCCATGCTATCCGCTAATAAACTGTAGTCACCGCTGTTTATTACCTTCTGATTTCAAACACCGTTGGTATATATATTATCGGTTATCATGCGTTTTTGGTAACGGTTGTAGTATTTCTCCAAGTCTCAGATGCTTACATTAGAACTGTATTGATATTCGTATTGAAGATTCTGACTTTGGTATTGATTGACAGTCTGTTTTGAGTTGCATATGTTCAACTGTGGGAGTGCTGTCCTTGCTTTGCTAATCCTCACATTTACGCCTGCATCGTATTCTTAACGTTCATCGATGATGCTACCTAGATATGTGAAA